TCGTGGAGCACCGTCGCAGTAAGACTTCCAACATCTCATTCAAAGTATTATACTGTAGCTTTGGTTGGGCATATGTATTCATAAAACTTTACTTACGTATTCAAATTTCTAACTCTGAGCTTGTACTATTTTAATTTAAACTATGTGTCACGGGGCTCTAGTTTATAAATTTTTTTATAACAGTTATTTATGTTATTCTTGACACCATAGTCTGTTTTAAAATGGAAATGAACAAGTTTTCAAAAAAATCAAGGGTTGCCTCGGCGGCCCAACGTAACACTTTAGGCCCATTCGGATTTAGGGTGTACAAAATGAACCCCTAACTTTTGATTTATATTATTTATATTTCATCCCCTTAATTTTCTATATTTTAATTTTTTTCCTTTTAAATTTCCAACATTTACATTTCAGTCCTTTAAATTCCAACACTTTAATTTTCTGAAGTTTTCTATGTGGACTTTATATTATACTTTCTTTGATTTCAGTCCTTAATTTGATGTTAAAATTCTAGTTTTTTTAGTTTCGATTACTTCTAATTTAGTCTCCCTTTTATATACCTTTTTAATTAAACTTTGAAATCTCTTTTGTAGGCATCATTGTATATAATTTTTTTTTGTTTTTGTACATATAGGTCTAGATATTTTTTTAAATTGGTATGTATGCTAGCCTCATGACCATCACTTGATTTGAACAAATAATTAGACTAAGGGTAATACTTTTTTTATTTTAGAATTATTATGAAATGATTGTTTTAAGGTATAAGAAACTCATTTCCAATGGTTTTAAAAATGGAGGGGTGTCCTACCAAGTGAAATCCTAAAAGATGATCACACTTAAAATTTGCAAATGATGGAAAAATTGAATGTTCGTCTATTTTAATTTATCTAAGAAAGGATCCTTAGAACGTATAAAATAATCAAACATCCTTATTCTTTCTAAAGGATTAGTAATATACAATTAATTTATTTTATCTATTTATTTTATTTCATGTATTTGAAATATGAATTAATAACGAATTTATGAATGGAATAGCAATATTTCTTTGTTTCAATTGGAAAATGAATTGATTGCTTTAAAGCATGAGAGGTCCTTTTATATTTCAATAGGAAGTAATTATATATCGTTATTTTCCTTTCCTAAATTCGAGGACTAATTTTTTATGTGTTTAAAAATGATCTTAAATTAGTTTTTGGCTAATTCTTCTCCATTTTTTGGGTACCTAATCACAATCTAATCAAAGATTGATTGCAACCCTTATAATTGTTTTCGATTTAAAAAAAACCCAAAATTAGATAAGGTAACCTTTTTAAAACCCCCCAATTTATCGATATTAGATCACTTCGACAAACCACATATCAAATTTGAGCACCATGAGAAGACTATTCATGAACACAGCCGCATATCCAAATTCAATCTGAGGGTCTAAAGTATGGAAGAACGACCAAATGGTCGATAAAAAAGACTGAAAGAGTGCCAAAAAGAAGTAGAAAATGTGTCATAAAGACAAAGAAAAATATACCATAAAAATAAAGTTATTGAAAATTTAAAAATATAAATAAATTAAACATACACTATAAGAAAAGAAAAACAATGTGTCGTAACCGTCCTTCGGGTGGGCCTGGAATTGGGTTTCGACTTAAATAAATGCGTTAGAGCCGCCACTGATCATTTAAAATTAGGTTGATTGAAAACCTTAATTTACAGTCTTACCTAATCCACATTTTACCAGAAATATATCAGATTCGAGAATCAATTACAGTCAAGGAAGGATTAGCAACCTTGTACTGCCCTTTTTATACCAATTTAATTTTTTTGTTGTCTTAATTACGAAAATTAAAAGTTAAATTAAAATTTGATCTAATTACTTACCTTTGATTCGATTAAAATTGTCCTAAAAAGTTAAAATAAACTTAAATAATAAAATAAAATAAAATAAAATAAAAAATATTAAATAATAAAAGAACTAAAAGAAAATTCAAATTAAAAATGATTAAATTGAAAAGAATTAAAAGTCAATGATCAAATTGATGTTAATTGAAAGCTGCAAGAAAACAATAAAAAGTTAGGTGGTTTAATTGCATAAATATAAGAAATATAAATAGGGATTAAATTGAATTAATTCAAAATTCAAGGTCAAATTTACAATATGTGACCAAAATGAATTACACATCAAAATAACAGGGACTACGTAAATAATTTCATAATTTCATAATTGCAAAGGGGTCCCTCTATAAATATCCCTAAAATCACAAAAATCATTCATTTTCACTCTTCTAAAAAATCAACCCTCCAAAAAACAAAACTCTCAACTCTCATTGACCGACCAAAGGTCGATCACTTACCGACCAAACACCGCCGCCCTGACCATCACTCTGGCCACCGCCTACGGTGGCCGAAAAATCCTAAAACTACCCCAAAACACTCCCCTTAACACTCCGAAGCCGAAGCCGAACCCCAATCCCAATCACCCAAAATCGCCCCTAAACAGCGTAGATCTAAGCCAAAAGACTTGGTTTTACCTTCTTTTTGACGTGTTCCTTTGGTTTTCCGACATCCTTTCTTCTCCGACGACGCTCCTTTCGCTTTCCTCAACGTATTTCCCGGTGATCTTGAAGGAAATATTTTGTTTTTTTCTATGTATTTCTTTGTTTGCATGGTGTCTCAATTGCTCTTGGTTACATGTATTTATAGAGACCCTATCGTGGCTGTTTCAGGTTGTTTCGGGGTCGTTCTCCCCGTTCCCGTCTTACTCAGGTTGTTATTTGTTTCCTTGAAATTCGGCCATCGATTTGGTGCGATTTTGGTTCGTTACGTTGCCTAAAAATTATTTGGAGGTCATTCTCAAGTGTTTGGCCGATCTTGGGATTTGATCCTGGGTTGTTCCGCTGAAAATCTTGACCGGTTACTAGAGCATGATTTCCCTTGCCAACGCGTAGTCCTCACATGCCCTTCGATGCCTCCCTTACGGCGCCCTTGCCTAATGTTGAAACCCTAGCCTTGTTGGGCTCACTGGGTCGACTTGCTGGGTCAGGCTTGCCCACACGGTTGGGCTCCCTGGTGGGCCCCTTGGACTGTTAGACCCAGTTGGACTGTTGGACTTGGACCTGAAATAAGAAAAATAAATAAATAAAATAAAATAAAATAAAAATGGAAAATAAAATACTAATAATAATATGTATATATTTCAAAAAATATTTAAAAACTATACGTTATATGTTTTCAAAAATATTTAAAAAACTGTATATTATATGTTTTCAAAAATTCGTTTTCAAAAACTATATTATATACGTTTTCAAAAAGAAATTTTTAAAAAAATTATATATTATATGTTTTAAAAAATGTGTTTTTAAAATTATATATTATATGTCTTCCAAAACCGATTTTAAAAAACCATATATCATATGATTTTTTTAAAAATATATTTTCAAAACTATATATTATACGTTTTCAAAAACGTATTTTCAAAACCATATTATATACATATTTTCAAAAATCGATTTTTAAAAATTATATATGTTTTTCAAAAAAACTATCTTCTAAAAATTATATATTATATATTTTCAAAAATAATTTTAAAAATTATAATACGTTATATAAGTCCTAAACGAAAATGAGTGACTCCACAATAAATACTAATTATCAACAAGTAGCACTAAAATTGATGTAACCGTTAGCCAAGGAAAGATTTACAAAGGAAAAAAAAGTTTCGATCCGCGGAAAAAAGTTATGGGAGAAACCTAGGATTTTTTTTTTAACTTAATACCTATTTTGGCTTCTATAATAAAGTGAAATTTTCATTTTGATCATTTCAAATTTTTTAAGATAATTAATCCTCAAAACTTTTATTTTGTTATCATGTTAGTTCTTTGACATTTTCATTAAAATATTGACGTAATCAAAATATATTGTGCCATGTGTTATAAAAAATAATGAAAATTCTTAAATAAACATTAAGGCAATATTTTTATTATTAATAACGACTTTTTTTATTAACTACACATGTTTGTTTAATTTCAAAAAATAATAAATATAAACTATTAGAAAGCGAACGCAGCTTAAAATGTTTAAATTTAAAGGAAAGTGGAAGGGAAGGCGGCCCCAACTTCCCCTGTTGCTATACATTGAATACATATTTCTTCTAAATATGTTCTTTCGTTATATCATTACGTTTGATGATGATTAATTAGACTGACAAACTTCATACCGACATCGCAGCTAGTTTCATGAAATGTCAAATTAATATTATCGGCAATAATATATATTTAACGTTTAAATATTTTTAAATAAACTAAATAGTTTATTATAATTAATTAATTTATTGATTAATTTAAATTACATATTATAATTATTTATTATAAATTATTTTTTTAATACAGTTTATTTCATTTATGATATAAGGATTTTTCTCCACTCTTCCGTCTAAATTAATTGGTAACCGAATTAGAAAACAATTCATTAAAACTTCATATTTATAATTTAAATGAGTAAAATATAGAATTTAATATGGGTAGACTTAATGCCTAAATAAGTGCCCAAACTATATTTTTTGTGCTAAATAAGTGTCTATATTATTTTTTGGTTCGGGTGTCTAATGTTACAAACGTTAGCATTTTAGGTGCCGGACCGTCAACGACATTAATTTTTTCATTAAGTGACACGTGTCACAACTTGATAATTTTAATATATATATATATATATATAAAATAAAAAAAATTTAAAATTTTAAAAAAAACACATAAATTTTGAAATAACCCCTAAACTTTCCAAACCTTCATTTTAACCCCTAAACCCATACTGATTGCCACCATTTGCCATCGAAGAAGCTCTTCCCAACCTTCCCTCCCCTCGGTGGCCAAAATCCCTGTAAAATCATGACCAGTTGACGATCGATCGATGACAAATCAATGTTTTAAATCCCACAAACCCTAAGATAAAAATCACGATCCCACGTGATTCCAACGGTGAATCAGCGACAACTACGACGACATATAACTAGGATGATGGCAATGACTACGGCGGCGGCGGCGATCATGGTCGGAGAGGGCGGTAACGGTGGATTAAGGTTAGGATTTAGGATTTTGGGTTGTTTTATAATATAAGAAAAGTTAGATTTTTTTTATAAATATACTAATATTTTTAATATTTTTTAAAATAATTTTTAAAATTACCAGGTACTAATACGTGTCATTAACGGAGAAAATTAACACCGTTGATGCCCAAGCGCCTAAAATGCTAACATTTGTAACGTTAGGTGCCCGGATTGCCCAAAAAATATAAGCACTTATTTGACATAAAATATATAGTTTGGACACTTATTTGTGCATTAAGGCATATGGGTAATATGTAAAATTTAGTTTTAACTAATGTAAGTGAGATAATTTTTCCATTCTATATACAGTACCGATGGATTTACACTTCGTTCAAGGTGAGAAGATTTCACTTTAAAATTTACTTTTTTTCTATTTATCATCTAATTTATTAACTTTAAAATTTTTAAAATTATATAAGTGTTTATTTCATATATTTTTTTATATTATATTATATTATATATATCATCTTTAAAAATATTTTTGAATACCTCATTATATAAATATTATGACATTGACAAGTTATCGGAGCTGATGGTCCCCCCATCATTAGAAAGCTCATAGAGAGCTGTAGATCGTTGAGGAAAACAAAGGAAATAGCATTTAGATTTTCATATGCACATATTGTCCTAACTATTAATTTAGAATATTTACAAATAATAATGTGTTCTAAAAACAATTAAAGTTGATACTTGAATTTGATATTTATAAAGATGATAATCAATCTTTTAATCATCAAAGAACTTAACTGGCCTAAAATAATCACTGTTAAGATACACGCACTTATATTCAGCAGCCAAAAACGCAATCCAACCCATATATCCAACATTTATTCTGGTTTACACCCCAACTATCAGCAATTGCAGTTCATCAACAACTGGTTTGCACTTTTGCGGTAAATTTTTGAATCTTTGGGAAATCTGAATTCTTCTCATAAATGGATTCTCCCATTCCCATCTTCAAATCCCAAGTCCTCAAATCACCATGCAATCCAACGAAAGTTCCGGCAGCGGCGGCAGCGGTTCACTGCGACGGGGCGGCACCATGTGTATAAGGGCATAAGGCGTAGGGCAAGTGGGAAATGGGTGTCTGAAATTCGTGAGCCGAGAAAACCTAATAGGATTTGGCTTGGTACGTTTCCTACACCTGAAATGGCTGCCATTGCTTATGATGTGGCGGCACTTGCCCTAAAAGGCGAAGGCATGGAGCTTAACTTCCCCAACTCTGTTGCTTCTTTACCGGTGCCTGCATCGACCTCCCCTCGCGATATCCAGGCAGCGGCGACGTCGGCTGCAGCGGCTTTAGGGGCTGCAAACGATGCTTTAGTCGGGAATGAAGGTAGGAACAACAACTGGATAGGCGCGGAGAAACCAAGTGCTGGCCGTGATGATTTTGTCGATGAGGATTTGATATTCGATATGCCTAATGTTCTTGTCAATATGGCTGAAGGGATGCTTCTTAGTCCTCCTCCATTGGACGTTGATTCCGATCAAACACCTCCCGCCGGTTACGACGGATGCTCCGAGACCCTATGGGAATTTCCTTAATGTTAGTATAATATACTTTCTTCAACATAAAATATCTTTCGTAAAAATAAGGAATGAAAGACGAGCAAGAATATCAACGTCAGCAGGCACTGTTAAAAGTATATGACAGTGCCTAGCATGAATGAAGTAATCCACAAACATGGATTCCGTGTGTTTTCTTAGTGGTTTTCGATTTATTTTAACTTTGAATTGATGTTTCCTACAGGACTTTTCCATTTATGGGATTCATTTTTGGTCAATCCATTTATGGTATTCTCTATCTACTTTTAAGTTGTGTAGTCCTGGTTAGTGTCCGTACATGCATGCTTGAAGCTTGAAAACCCTTAGGGATGAAAACAAGTTTTGAGCCGCTTGTTCGTTCATGCATACTTCTAATAAGCTAAATTAAAAAACTTTTCATATATATATATTTTATTATTAGAAGAGAAGATAATATTCTTTTTTTTTATTAGCATAGTCTTATAGTGTGATTAGAATGTAGCATATCTCCAAGTTAACTGACAATGAATGCACAAATTTTTATAGATACAATTGTTTAACTTAAGACTTTAGGAGAGAACAAGACACCCTTTCATTACTGAAGTCATTTAAAATGTTCTAAAATTCTAATCTTAAATAAAAGATTATTAATATCATTTAATAAGTGAAACTATCAACAATGTAATAATGAAGTTTGTTTATTTGTTGCTCAAATATTAGTTCCAAGGTATATATTTGCAAAGCAATTATAAAAGCCAAAGAAGAAAGCTAAGACGAAAATTCAATATTAGTTAGGGTAAAAATTTTCTTAGTTCATAGATAATGAACGCACACGTCTTATAGATACAATTACTCGAACTTGAGACCTTAATAGATAACAATACACTCTTTTATCACTGAACTCATTTAACATGATCTAAGATTCTAATCTTAAATAAAAGAAAATTAATATCATTTAATCAGTGAAACTATCAACAGTGTAATAATAAAATTTGTTTATTGGTTGCTCAAATACTAGTTCCAAGTTCTATATCTGCAAAGCAATTATAAAAGCCAAAGAAGAAAACAAATACAAAATTCAATATTAGTTGAGGTAAATTTCACAAATTTTCTTAGCTCATAGATGATTAGCACATACATTTTATAGATACAATTGTTTAAATATGAGACTTTAAAAGATAACAATACACTGTTTTATCACTGAACTCATTTAACATGTTCTAAAATTCTAATCTTAAATAAGAAAAAAATATTAATATCATTTAATCAGTGAAACTATCAACAATGTAATAATGAAATTTGTTTATTTGTTGATCAAATACTAGTTCCAAGTTCTATATTTGCAAAAGCTAAGACAAAAATTCAATATTAGTTGGGGTAAATTTCACAAATGGTCACTAAAATATGTTTATACTTTTTTGGTCACTAATATTTCCCAAATTATAAAATTAATCATTAAACTTTCCAAATAATTATAAAGTGATCATTAAACTTTGTGAAACTATTATAAAATGAGTATTGAACTTATTGAACTGTTATAAAATGTTCCTTATTGAAATTTATCACTATTATATAATATATAGTGACCAATTTGTAATAGTTTTATAAATTTAATGATTATTTTGTAAGTTTTGAAACTTTAATGATAAAAAATCTGTTGAAAAAAAAGCCAAGTTGGCCACATGGCCAAAAACAACTTTCGGTGGTTTAAATTAATGCACCGATTTTTGTTGAAATTTGGAAAATGGTAAAATCATTTTTAGTCATTATAATTTAGGGTATTTATAAATTAGTCCTTAAGTTTCAACTATAAATACCCTAGCTCATTTAGCTTCAAAACCATCCCAAAGCATTCTAGCTTTCTTCCAATACTAGAGAGAATTTAGAAAGTTTCTTGAGAGTTATTTTCTCTTTTTTATCAAGAGAAAATTATCATTGTTTTCTCCTTGGTCGATCAAGAGAAGTTGTAATTCCTATTTTCTCATAGTGAAATTTTTCTACCGTTGCCCGTGGTTTTTACCCTATATTATTTAGGGGTTTTCCACGTAAATTGTGTCTCTTTTATCTTCATTTTTTGTTTTCTCAAATTATCAGTTTTGATTTTGCTCTATCCGATAGCCGTCTTACGCAACAATTGGTATCAGAGCCAGATTAAAGTGTGTAATATCTGCTTATTGTCTTTGTGGTTGCCACCAAAAAGATGGATCATCCAACATAAGAAAGTAAGAAGTTATTACCCATTCTTTGAAGATTCTAGAGAACTATTCACGATAGTGAAATAGTGGAAGCTATTCGTAAAAGAAGCTATGGCAACGAAATTTGATATTGAAAAATTTAATGGGAGAAATTTCTCATTATGGAAATTGAAGATGAAGACTATCCTGAGGAAAGACGGTTGTCTAGCAGCTATCAGTGAAAGGCCAATGGATTTCATAGATGACAACAAATGGATCGAAATAGACGGGAATGCTATGGCAAACTTTCATCTAGCATTAGCAGATGAAGTATTGTCAAGCATCGAGGAGAAGAATACAGCTAAGGAGATATGGGATCATCTCACCAAATTATACGAGGCCACATCGCTGCACAATAAAATTTTCCTTAAGAGAAAATTGTACACTCTCCGTATGCCAGAATCTACTTCAGTGACGGAGCACTTAAATACACTGAACACTTTATTTTCTCAGCTTACATCCTTAAGCTGTAAAATAGGAGAACAAGAACGTGCTGAACTTCTACTTCAAAGTCTACCGGATTCGTATGATCAACTCATTATCAACTTGACAAACAATAATGTCACTAGTCTAGTCTTCGATGACGTTGCAGCTGCTGTTCTACAAGAAGAAAATCGGCGCAAGAACAAGGAAGACAGACAAGTAAATATACAACAAACACAAGCATTGACAACGATGACAACGATGAGAGGGATATCAACATAACGTGGCCAAAGCAGCAGTCACAAACATGGTAGATCGAAGTCGAGGAGCAAGAAGAATTTAAAGTGCTACAACTGTGGAAAGAAATGTCACTTGAAGAAGGATTGTTGGAGTCTAAATAAAAACTCAAATCCATAAGGTAATACCGCAAACACTTCAGATGATGGAAATGTTCTATGTTGTGAAGCGTTAACAACCGTGGAAGGTAGAAAGAGATATGCAGACATATGGCTCATTGATTCGGGAGCAACATATCACATGACCTCAAGAAGAGAATGGTTCCATCATTATGAACATGTCTCAGGAGGATATGTGTATAGTTGCAATGATCATGCCTTAGAGATCATTGGCGTGGGAACCATCAAATTGAAGATGTATGATGGAACAATTAAAGTTGTTCGAGATGTGCGGCACGTGAAAGGCCTGAAGAAAAATTTATTATCCAACGGATTGTTGGATAATAATGCAAGCAAGATTGAAACACGTAAAGGAATCATGAAGGTGTTCCGTGGAGCGCTTGTGGTGCTGAAAGGTGAAAAGATAGTAGCAAACTTGTGCATGCTGAAGGGAGAGACTTTGCTAGAAGCAGAAGCCTCTGTTGCCTCATGTAGTTCAGATTCTGCAATGCTATGGCATCAGAAACTCGGACACATGTCAGAACAAGGAATGAAAGTCCTTGTGGAGAAAAAGCTACTTCCAGGCTTAACAAAGGTAATACTTCCTTTGTGTGAGCATTGCATAACAAGTAAGCAGCACCGGTTAAAATTCAACACGTCAAATTCTAGAGGCAAAAGTGTTCTAGAATTGGTTCATTCTGACGTATGGCAAGCACCAGTTACATCCCTAGGTGGAGCAAAATATTTTGTCTCATTTATTGATGACTACTCCAGGAGATGTTGGGTGTACCCTATTAAGAAGAAGCCAGATGTGTTTTCCACTTTCAAAAACTTCAAAGCACGGGTGGAATTTGATTCTAAAAATAAGATCAAGTGTTTCAGAACAGATAATGGAGGAGAATACACAAGCGAATCATTTGATGACTTTTGCAGGAAAGAAGGCATCAAAAGACAGTTCACAGTGGCGAACACTCCTCAACAAAATGGAGTGGCAGAGCGGATGAACAGAACCTTGTTAGAAAGAACAAGAGCAATGTTGAGGGATGTAGACCTAGAAAAATCATTCTGGGTAGAAGCAGTCAATACCGCCTGTTATTTGGTGAATCGAGCTTCATCAACTGCAATAGAGCTGAAGACACCAATGGAGATGTGGGCTGGTAAACCAGCTGATTATTCAAGCCTCCATGTATTTGGAAGTATTGTATACGTGCTGTACAACTCCTAAGAAATTTTAAAGCTGGATCCAAAATCCAGAAAATACAAATTCTTGGGGTATGCTGATGGTGTAAAGGGGTATCGCTTGTGGGATCACACTGCCCGCAAAGTGATCATTAGTAGGGATGTTATCTTTGTAGAAGATAAGCTACAAAGAAAAGAAGAAGACGGTAGCGTTGAAAAGTCAGAGACTACACAAATACATGTGGAAAATGAGTTTGAACAAGGAGATTCTTTTGAAGCAAAACCAACACATGATGAACAAGAACCAGAGAGTTCTGAAGCTCCAATAACTCGTCAATCAGATTGTGTGAAAAGACGTCCCAATTGGCACCCAGATTATGTTATAGAAGGTAATATTGCATACTTCCTTTTAACAGAGGACGGTGAGCCATCAACATACCAAGAGGCAATAAACATCTCAGATGCTTCACTATGGATGATAGCGATGCAAGAGGAAATTGAAGCCCTTCATAAAAATAATACATGAGACCTTGTGCCACTACCACAAGGAAGGAAGCCAATTGGTAACAAATAGGTCTTCAAAATCAAGCGAAATGGTGACGATCAAGTTGAGAGGTATCGTGCAAGACTGGTGGTCAAAGGATATGCTCAAAAAGAAGGTATTGATTTCAATGAAATATTTTCTCCTGTGGTTCGACTAACAACAGTTCAGGTAGTTTTGACAATGTGTGCTACATTGGACTTACATCTAGAGCAGCTAGATGTTAAAACAACTTTTCTTCATGGAAAT